AGTCACATTTTACCAGAATTCCTCCAATTAAGCTGTGATAAAACGAAACAACCTCTTCTTGTGTCCCATTGCTGGATCACTATCTCCTCACACCCAGAGAGAGCATGAAAAGGTCATGCCCAAAATGCAAAAAGATCAAAGTTAGATAACTACGGGATTTTTAGCTTACAAAGGTGCTCATGATTTAAAGATTTTCAAGGGTAACTCTGACCTGATCATAAACTCTGCTGACTCTAGAACCTACACCCAGGATGCAAGAGGTCACCAGAGTACAGTTCTATGAAATGTCTACACAGTGTGCAAAAGGCATGTCCTTTGTTACTTATTTTATATTTATTAAATATAGAAAGGCAGAAGGTAATATGACAAAATATTAATGATGATTTCTGAGGAGGTAATTTTAGTTAGTAGATACATTTACTCTTTCAGCTTCATAATTGTCTGTATTTTCTAAATTTTCTACAAAGCACATGTACTAATTGTTATAACTTTTTTGGGGGGATTCTAAATCAATGTTTCTTTGATGGTTTAAATTTATTTTCATGTATTACAATTAGTTCAAAGGAAATCTTTCTATTTCATCTATGTCAGGAAATCATCAGCTACTTAGTCTCATCCCTTCAAACTCTGAGAATCGCTGATTCTGTGAAATATTGAATAAAATAAACATTTTAAAAGTGAGAGAGCCTATAAAATAGTCACTATCCAAAAAATACCAGGTTGGATAAATTACTGTTAAAATCGCTAACTAGGGGGCTTCCCTAGTGGCGCAGGGGTTGAGAGTCCGCCTGCCGATGCAGGGGACGCGGGTTCGTGCCCCGGTCTGGGAAGATCCCACATACCGCGGAGCGGCTGGGCCCGTGAGCCATGGCCGCTGAGCCTGCGCATCCGGAGCCTGTGCTCCGCAACAGGAGACGCCACAACAGTGAGAGGCCTGTGTATCGAAAAAAAAAAAAAATCTCTAGCTAGGTTTCAAAAGGACATGGTGTATAAATTCAGAGCAGGACTCTATGAAAGAACACCTTACAAATCTAAGACCCATGAGTTTATATTCTTCAATGATTAATATTTTAGAAGACAGCTGGGACTGGGAGGGATGAATAAGTAGAGCACAGAGAGCATTTTTAGGGCAGTGAACATACTCTGTATGATACCATGATGGAGATATTTGTCCAAACTCATAGACTGTACAACACCAAAAGTGAACCCTAATGTAGGTTATGGACTTTGTGTGTTATTATGTGCCAATGTAGTTTCATCAGCTGTGACAAATGCACCATCCGGTGAGTCATGGTGACAGTGGGGAGGCTATGCTTGTGTGGGTGCAGGGAGATACTGGAAATCTCTGGACCTTCCTCTCAATTTGGCTGTGAACTTAAAACTGCGCTAAAAATAAATAAATAACCTCCTTTTAAAATAATATATGCATAGCTGAAGGCAGTGTGATCTGATGAGAAGAAAATGGAGCTGCTCAAAAGAACTAAATTCTCAAAATAAATCCCAGATATAAAAAAGAAACCATGTGGCGAAATTCTGATCATTTACTGACTCTGGCTAATGGAGTGTATGGAGATTGCTCATTCTGGTTTTTTCCCACCTATATTTTTAAATTTTTATGACAAATTTTTTTTACTTTTAAATCCATGTTTTATTTTAAAAGAAAGAAAGGAAAAATGCACAGGATTGTTTTCAAACGGTATATGAATTTTCTTGAATCAATGCCATGACCAACCCAGAAGTAAGATGGCTCCTTCCTGAGAAAAAGTGAAGTGGAAATATGCTTAGAGTAGGAAGGGATGTCAGTGAAAACTTCTTTTGAAAAGTGAATACTAATGAGAATTCCTGGGAGGAATTGCACGGGGCCCAGGTTCAATCCCTGGTCGGGGAACTAAGACCCCGCAAATGTGGTGAGGCCAAAAAAAAAAAAAAAAGTGAATACTAAGCTTGGTCTTTATCTCCAGTTTGATAATAACAGCCATGTACGGATTTTTCATTCTCAAAGGGAGAAAAAGAAACTGAATTAGAATATACAATATACACAAACATCTATGTATATATAATATGCTATCTTAATCACACATTTTATACATATATATGTAATATATACATTATATACACAAATTCAATACATGTCACACACACACAATCAAAATTAGAAGATCTAATGTGTAACGTGGTGACTACAGTTGATAACACTGTATTGTACAAGTGTATTGTACAATACAATATTGTACAAAATACTGTGTTGTACTGTACAATCTACTCTCTTGCTAAGAGAGTAGAACTTAAATGTTTTCACCAAAAAAAAAAAAAAGGTAAATATGTGAGGTGATGCATGTGTTAATTAACTGGATAGGGGGAAACCCTTTCACAATGTATATGTATATCAAATCATCATGATATACACTTTAAATATCTTACAATTTTATTTGTCAATTATACCTTGATAAAACAAAAAATACATTTTTTTGTATTTTTATATTTAGTTATACAGAGAGAAATAAATTTCTAGGCCCAAGATGAAGCTGCTCTTATCCAGGGTGCCACATCAGCAAACCGAAACTTGGGTAACCTTTGTGTCCCTGTAAATGCTCCTCTTGACCGGAAGTGCAATATATTCAGTCAGCCAATCCCCAAAGGCCAAGCCAACTCTGGGCCTTCTCACCCCAAACAAGACTGACTATGTGGCCCCAGCCAATCAGATATTTTCTATTATTCCCTTCCTTATTCTTTATCCTATAAAAGCTCCTTGCCTTCGGCCTTATTTTGCAGTTCTCTGAAAGGAGACTGTCCATGAAGTGTTAAAATTTGTTTGTATCACCTAAACTGATTTCTTTAATCATTTTTAACATATATAATCAAAATGACAAAGGGCCTTCTAAACATAAAAATCAACTGGATAAAGCATATAGGCAAAAAGCAATAAACTGAACCACATAAAAAGTAAAACCTATAAATTTTATTTAAAAATCATGAAAAAGTTAAGTAAATGCAAAAGAAATTGAAAGCAGGACAAAGAAGCCAAGTAGAGTGAGTGATGAGAGGAGGAGGGAGCCAGGAAGGGAACGGAGGAAATAAAAGGTGAGTGGGCAACTTTCTGGGGCGCCTGGGTTTCTAAAAGCACCCGGTGAGCCCCAGCTTTGAGGTCTCTTTCCTAAACACCTTCTAGGCCCTGAGGCCCGCTCTCCTATTCTTTTACAAAATTCCCCTTTTTTGCATAGACTGAGTTACAGGCGATCCAAAGGTCCTTGATCAGGACAGACAGTAGGTGGGCAATTCACAAAAGAAGTAATACCAGTGGTCCAAAAACACATGAATACATGAATATTTTCAAATTCACTAGTCACATTTCCAAAAGAGCAAACAGAACTGTAACACTGTTTTTACCTATCAAATTGGCAAATATTTTGTAAGATAAAAATATTGAGAATTAGTGCTTGAACCAAAAGTTGGTAGAATCTCCCCCAAAAGGCAATTTGGCAATATTTATCAAACTCTTTTAAAATGCCCATATACTGAATGTGTCATATTTTACTTCTGGAGGTATACTCTAAAGAAAAACTAGGGAATATAGATTAAAAATATATATATATAAGGAAGTTGACCATGAAATTACTTATTATAGGGACATACTGATGGGAAAATCAAATGTGCAAGAAATTAAATGACACAGTAAACTTCAAATATACAAAACACTTAAGATTTTTCTGATTTCCTTTTAAAGATAAATGCTCATTCTTACAATAGCCTACCATATATTTCCACAGTTATATGCACAATCTTACTTAATAGCATTATCCTACACATGCTATTCTTTGTTTAAAACAGGTGTGATATGGGCAATTAACACAGCCATCACAGGGGTCCCATCATCTCTTTTTAAGGGGGTATAATATGCGGACTTGTACATCAATAATTTACTCATGTCTACAAAATGACAGCTAACACACACAGCACTTGCCATTATGTCAGGCATTTTTCTAAATATTACAAGTTTTTACATATACTAACTCCTTTAAGCATCAAAACAACCCTATGAAATAGGGGCTTTCCATTATTATGCCTGTTTGCAAAGCCGAAACAGCAGCACAGAAAGCTTAAGGAACTTGCCCAAAGTCACACAGTTAATAAAGCAGGAGAACTAGGTTTCCAACCCAGACAGTGCATTTTTTAACTATTTGCTCTTGTCTAATAAACTCTAATTTCACCAGCTCATTATTGACAAACATGAGCTGGCCCAAAGGTTTGCTGTTATAAACAATAAACATTCTTGTGTATTCATTTTACATAGTTATACAATTATCTCCATGAAATAAAGCACTGCAAGTAGAATTGATGAGTTAAAGAAAAAAGTTTTAATTTAAATACATATTGCCAATTCAGATGCATCAAAAATGTCCAGAGTTATTGAGTGTTTAATAAAGACAACAAGGAATTAGCATTCCTCAAAAATTATCAAAATAATATGTGTGTGGTTTTGCTTAGACATTTATATAAATGTATTAATATAGTAAATATATTAATATAGCAAATATATGTTATATAGGTAAGAAATTAATAACAACGATTACCTACAAGTTTTAGAAGGCTAGGAACAAAGGGGAGTGTGGATAGGGTTGGAAGGCAACTTTTCAAAGCATACCTGTATATAAATGTGTGTTTATTACACATTAATATATATTAAACAATGTGAATGTCCTACCTATTCCAAAATTATAATTTATCATACAACTCTAGAAATAGACGAGACCCAAGAGATAACCCAGTCTAATATCTTCATTTAATTTTACATAATTTAATGATCAAGCACTTCACCCTGTATAAACTTAGTGCTAAATCTGTGACGTCTGATTTCAAGCCACAGCTCCTCCTATTACAGTACTAGCTCCCAGTGAAAACATCCATTGATACATTCCAAAAGTTAAGTGCCATGCCCTCTTGCCCTGTAAAACAGGAATCTCATGACAAAGAACGGAAGATATTGAGTTATTTGTACATACCTCTGTAAAACTGAAGAAGAGGCCAATGCCGCCAACAAATCTCAAAACTTCTCCTGCATATTTTCCTATTATTGGAGCACAGGGTGAGCACTGGTGGCTGCTTTTCACACAGCTCTGTATTAATTTTCAAAAAAGAACTTTTATTTCAAAGTACATTTATAACGAGCAGATTAAAAAAAAACACCCACATAAAAATTACTGTCTCGAATATCATATACAACTTGGAGCCACGGTTCTTTAGTAGTGTCCAAAATCGTAAGAAGGCTCCTAAGATTCCCACCCCCAGGGTACATGCCCTGAATAACCACCCCTTGAGAGCAGACGGGATTTGTGAATAATGATGCACTGTCACTCCCATGTTTATGTTGCATTACATAAGACACTGTCTTAATAAAGTGAAGAGATTCTCACACTGACTTTGATGCCATGTTGTGAGATGGCTGTATAGTTAAGACCTGACCAGCATCTAGGAACTTAGAGACACCAGAAAGAAAATGGGACTTCAATCCTACAACTACCAGAAGCTGAATTCAACCAACAATAGCTTAGTACAAGACCCCAAACCTGAGATGAGATTGTAGCCCTGGCCAATACCTTGACTTCATTCTGGTGAGATCCTGATGAGCAGAGGACCTAGCTAAGCTATACGCAGGCTCCTGACTTAGGGAAACTAAGACAATAAACGGGTGTTGTTTTAGCCACTAAAATTGTGATAATGTATTATATAGCAATAAAAAACTAATAACCCACAAAAGAGGACACAACAAGGGGATGTCCAGCTCAGGGCTCAGCAAGGGGGTAATAGGATTTTCCCCAAAATATAAACACATGTAAACTTCCCAAGAGAGCCAAGCTCCAAGCTCCAAGTCCATCCCCATACGGGATTGGGTTGGACTTGGGAGGTCAGTGGTCTGGCCTGGGGCAACAGGATGGCTCTAATTGATCTATCGCTAGCTCAGCTCCCAGAGAGAAAGGGCATGAAGTTGTGATGGGGAAAAAGGGAGAGAGGAAAGAGGGTGGTTCCTTGTGTCCTCCACCCTGGGGATGTTTAGCTGGTTGAGAAGCCCAATTTAATACAGACCACTCCCCTCCTACCACCCTGATAGGCTTCCAAACCAAGATATTTACTTGCTGATCTGCTGTTATTTCTCTTTCACAACTTGTTCTAGGAGGATTTGACTGGGAAGGAATTAGGGGCAAAGAACCAAAAGCATCCGTGTCTGGCTGGGCCCTGGAATATTCAGTATCCTCAGGATGGATATTTGAGAACAGATAATTGATACAATAGTGTACACTGAATGTAATGCTGGTGTATAAAAAACACTTTAAAAGTACAATTCAGCATCAGAAAGTCCACTTCTTCCATGTTAACCATTATGCATCTGTAGGCAATACATCTCCAAAAAACATTTTATACTTTGTACTTACAGCCAGACAGGTGTCATTTGGGTTAAAACTTCGGAACCCACAGCAGTTTAAATTTCTCTGGATGTCATTTCGAGCACTTGCTGTATTGTTCCAACCAACTTCCAAAAGCTGACCCTAGAAAACGCATTTAAACATACATTAAAATGTGTCATCCCTGGGACTTCCCTGGAGGTCCAGTGGTTAAGACTTCGCCTTCCAAGGCAGGGGGTGCAGGTTCAATCCTTGGTCGGGGAGCTAAGATCCCACATGCCTCGTGGCCAAGAAAACAAAACATAAAACAGAAGCAATATTTTAACAAATTCAATAAAGACTTTAAAAATGGTCCACATCAAAAAAAATCTTAAAAAAAAAAAGTGTCATCCCTGCATAAAATGTATAAAGCTGGAGCCTGCAACTCTTAAAACTGAGTGCACCTAATATAATACTCTTTATAAGAGCATCAAAACTTTTCAAAGGGTTACACTTCAATCTGCAACAAAAAGAAGGCGTGATTTCTATCCCAAGAATAAAACGTCTTCACGTTCACATGTGATTTAAAAGAAGCACTTAGGTCAAAGGCCTAGTTTTCAGAGTGTAGCAAAACAAATTTTCCATTGCCCCAAAAGAGAGACCCATATTCTTCAAACAAATTAGAGTTTGAAGAGAATAATTGCCAGAATGAAACCACAAACATTCTGGAATAAATGTTTCATTGCATAAAAGTAGGGAAAGACTGGGTGAATATCCATTAGCAGGAGCACTTTTTACCCAGTGAGGGCAAAATCCTACTTCAAGGATGCAGAAAATAGCAACACGTGGTGTTTTAGGGCTCTAAGCAGCCCCACTAAAGCAATGAGGAAAAAAAGACTTCAGCTATGTGGAGTGAAATGGCATCCTGAACAAGAAGAAATTATTTTATATTCCAATCATTCCTCCCCCTTTCTTCCTACATGTACTATGTGGTATAATAAAGTAGAAAGAAAAAAAATCTTTGCTTACCTGTTGCTCCTGGTTCAGGGCTAAGCAAGCACATGATACGGAAAACTGGACAATAAATACAAGTAAGAGAATAATCATGTACTGAGAATCAAAGTTAAGGATATTTCTGGAAATGCTTAAAGTAACATAAAACAGAGTTACTGGCAACTTCACAACTCCCTAGAAGGAAGTCACCCCGAAAACAGAACAAATGGCACTTAGAGAAAGTGCAAGAAGAATACACGTAATTTTTATTTTGATAATACACTGTAGGTAAAATTATATAGAAAAATACTAACAACAATAATTATTTAAATGCTGATCTATTATAGAGAAAAGACTTGTGGTTGCCAAGGGGGAGGGGAGTGGAGAGGGATGGATTGGGAGTTTGGGATTAGCAGATGCAAACCGTTATACATAGGATGGATAAACAACACGGTCCTGCTGTATAGCACAGGGAACTATATTCAATATCCTGTGATAAACCATAATGGAAAAGAATATGAAAACAATATATATGTATAACTGAGTCACTTTGCTATACAGCAGAAATTAAACACAACATTGTAAATCAACTATACTTCAATAAATTATTAAAAATAAATAAAAGCTGATCTATTATAATTTCATTTAGATAAAAATAAAAATTCTTACATAGATAAAATAGGAAATAAGTAGAGATAAATGTATGTAAGCTTCCTTAATATCAACTCTTAAAATAATCATTGTGAAATTCTCAACCAAATATTAATGACTTGGAAAGGACATAGAAGTCTCTGAATCAGTTCAATGTAACTCTGAATTTTCAACACATAAATAGGATGATACTGAACTTGCAGAATACATTCGTCATGATGTGAAATGGACAGAGAATATGTAAACATACAATAATTTAACCCTAAGAAATGTTCCTAATGTTGGTTGGACAAATACACATGATGCTTGCCAGGAGGTGCTCTCTGGCAATTAACTTCCTAGTGGTTATTTTAAATTAGTTGTAGTTATCACAGGAGTAATCAGTAAGATAAGAGCAAACCCAAGTGGGGTATAAATCCCACCTGTAAAACAGGATACAAAAAAAAGCAACACCTGATGGTGTTTCACGGCTCCGATCAGCCCCACTAATGCAATCAGGAACAAGAAGATGCCCACTGCGATGACCACACCGACCACCCGGAGACTGGAAATCAGCCCGAAGCCGATGCCCCACGCTGCAATTCCAATGAGCAGCAGACTAACCAACTGCAAAAACAACCACAAAGGGCAGTGATGGGGCCGGGGAGAAGAAAGAGGGGAAAAGCGTCAATTTATGTATTAATATCAAGAACATTTTTCAGGCACCTACTTAGTATCTTACAAATGATTGCTAACACTCAATACTAGAATACACACATGATCTCACAGATAGTATTGCCTTAACAAGTTATATTAATCCTTGGCCATGTTTTTGTTTTTTGTTTTTGCGGTACGCGGGCCTCTCACTGTTGTGGCTTCTCCCGTTGCGGAGCACAGGCTCCGGACGCGCAGGCTCAGTGGCCATGGTTCACGGGCCCAGCCGCTCCGCGGCACGTGGGATCTTCCTGGACCAGGGCACGAACCCGCGTCCCCTGCATCAGCAGGCGGACTCTCAACCACTGTGCCACCAGGGAAGCCCCTTGGCCGTGTTTTTAAAACACAAACAATAATCTATAAAATTATTATGGAGCCTCATAGGCTTACTAAACCTAAACGATTTCTACTTAAGCTTTTGAAATAATAGCGTATGTAAAACTTTTAGACACCAACACATCTCAGTCCGACATACTGGTTTCTTCACGTGGAAATCACATATCTTTCCTTCAAAGCCCCGGACTGGGGCTTCCCTGGTGGCGCAGTGGTTGAGAGTCCGCCTGCTGATGCAGGGGACACGAGTTTGTGCCCCGGCCCGGGAAGATCCCACATGCCACGAAGCAGCTGGGCCCGTGAGCCATGGCCGCTGAGCCTGCGTGTACAGAGCCTGTGCTCCGCAACAGGAGAGGCCACAACAGTGAGAGGCCCGTGTACTGCAAAAAAACAACAGCAAAAAAAAGCCCCGGACTGTAACCTTCTCTGTGCTGCCTTCCTAGTCCCCAGCAAACTAAATTCATCTCTCCATTCTCTGAGCAATCTCTGTTCTTCAAATATGGTTCCACTGTTCCCTTCAACACATTAACATTCTGTTTCCAAGTCTGTCTCTCCTAGGAGTCTCTGAGCAACTTAGAGACCCCATCTTTTCACTTCTCTTTATCCCCAGAGCCTATCACAGAACCTCGCCTTTGGAACAGTCAAATTATCTCACAATATTGTTGATGAAATGAATTGCTTTAGATATCATTGGCTATTCTGTGAGAATTCAAACATAGAGAGAGACTATTAAAACTTTTAGGATGAAAAGAGTATAAGAGATTTTAGCTACTCAGAGTAAAAATGGCATTCTGAGCAAGAAGAAATTATTTTACATCCCAATCATTTAATTTATATTCTTATAAAACAAAATCAAGGGTAAGAGGTAAAACACATGCCTCAATCAGTCATTACCTGTACAACTCAAAGTTAGTTACTTCTTTAAAATAACACTTAAATAGCATGCCATATAAAGATTATAATCAACTGATAGAAGATACAACTTAAATAGGTGTGGGGGGGGCCGGGGTGGAGGGTGGAACAGGGAAGAGACAGTATCTTCAAGTCAATCGAGAGTCAGCCATTTCCTGGAGCAAGTTGACAGCTTAATACCTTGTTGGGAGGAATCAAAGTATGTAAAATAAACTTTCTAGCACCACTTCAAGGCCTAATAAACTTTGTTTTGACATACAAAATAAATGATCACTCACTCAAATGGTTCTTTACTCAAATGTGTAATTTTTTATAAATGTAGTCACTGTTTATCAGACACAATTTTTAAATGCCTTGGTATGTAAAACTTCTTATATGTATAGACATACAAGTAAAATGGCTAAATACGGACAAATACAGCAGCTATTTGGGTTTTTTTGTTTTTGCGGGGTTTTTTTTTTGCGGTACGCGGGCCTCTCACTGTTGTGGCCTCTCCCGTTGCGGAGCACAGGCTCCGGACGCGCAGGCTCAGCGGCCATGGCTCACGGGCCCAGCCGCTCCACGGCATGTGGGGTCTTCCCGGACCGGGGCACGACCCCGTGTCACCTGCATCGGCAGGCGGACTCTCAACCACTGCGCCACCAGGGAAGCCCAGCTATTTGCATTTTTATCCATTTATTATAAAGCAGCAAAACTGGAGAATGAAAGCAACTATGTGTAGCATGATAGGAACAAGTTATGGTGTTATATGGACTTGATGTTCTCCACTGAATTAGTACACAGAGGAAATTTTTCTTTTTAGAGGGAGAAGAGGAAAAACTTCTCACAAATACTGCTACCCAGAAATTAGTCCTCATTTTCTCAAATGCTTCTTCTCAGCAGATCCATTTGCCTCTGTCTCATTTTTATCAACTCACAGTCTTCCCACAACTTCAAACAATCTTGGATTGAGAAAAAGTCCTTGGGCCCATCACAAATGAGCTTATTTCTGACTTTGTTATACCCGAATATAACACATTTCCTTTCACGAGGTGTAAAAGGCAGAAGCCTGAAGGAGGTGTCAAGGAAGGAGAGGAAGATAATGCCGGAGGGGCCTCACCTCAGTGAGGGGAGAGAGTGATGCTTAGCATAGTCAACAAACACTGAAGATGGTCCACAGTCTCAACACATCATTGTAACTTGCTGTATCGGTCAGGGTTCTCCAGAGAAACAGAACCAATAGGATATATATTGAGAGAGAGTGAGAGAGAGAGATTTATTTGAAGGAACTGGCTGATGGAATTGTGGGGTCCACTAAGTCCAGAATGTGTAGGACGGGATGACAGGTTGGAAATTCTGACACGATTTCAGTGATGCAGTCTTGAGACAGAATTCCTTCTCCTTTAGGAAACGTAGTCTTTGTTCTTAATGATTTCATGTTTCATATCGTACATGAGGCCCATAATTACTTAAACTCAACTGAGGGTAAATGTTAATCACAACTAAAAAATACCTTCAGGGCAACATCTAGACTGATGCTTGAAAAAGCATCTTGGCATCACAGCCCAGCCAAGGTGACATATAAAATTAACCAACACTTGGAAGCTTCAAGTCCTGGGTGTGATGACTATTTACTAACTTAATTAAATTCAGGGGCAGGACATTTACCCTATATTTCTTTGAGTCTTAGGGCCAAAAAGATCAGAAGCATGAATAATATGACACATAAAATTCTTCTAGCCCACAGTTTTAAAGAATCCTTTGGGAATTGTACCAAATCCTTAACAACATTAATGAAATTCTTACCACGAGTTAAATATTCATCAACAAATGGTTGGTGCCCACTACACATGGAAGCCAGAGACAAGCTACCCCTAAATACTGAAATTTAAAGTCTTATAATTTTCATGTGGAACAAAATATGTTCCTTTGATTTTTTTTCAACCCTTTAAAAATGTAAAACCACTCTTAGTTGGCAGGCTGTACAATAATAGGCAATGGAATGGATGTGGTCCATGGGCTGCAGCTTGCTGACTTTCATTCTAGAATTCAATGTAGGAGAGAATGAAAAACTACAATGGGACAAATCATTGCTATGTCAGAGATTTTTACAAAGTGGGTCAGAGTAGAGAACAATAATCAAAAATATCCAGATAAACAGAACACATCAAAGACTGCAAAGGAACCATAACAGAACACATAGTAGGATGAAAAATGACCCCAACTGAATATTACCGTATACGGCAAAAGAATGAATGCTATATCACATGGCAAAAGATGTGACTCAATTAAGGGTCTAAAAGGGACAAACTTATCCTGGATTATCAGGCAGCCTCTAAGTGTCATCAAAAGTATCCTTACGAGGGAGGCAGAGGGAGAGTAGAGACAGAGAGAGGAGACAGCAATATCAAGACAGAGGCAGAGGGTGATGTGGCCACAAGGCAAGGGACGCTGGCAGCCACCAGAACACAGAAGAGGCAAAGTGGCAAGGAGGCAAGGAACAGATTCTCCCCTAGGGCCTTCAGAGGGAGTGCAACAACTTGATGGTTAACTTCTGGCCTCGTGAACTGTTAGAATAGCTTTCTGCTGTTTTGAAGCCACCATGTTTGTGGTAATCTGTCACAGCAGCCCACACAAAACAATTCTCGCATTTGGAGATGAACAAGTCAGGAATGCATGTTACAGAAAGCTGCCTGATATTTTACCATCAACGTAATCCCTACCATATAGCTGGAGTGAATTATTCAGGTATCCCTTGTCAGTACCCTCCCAGCAAACCAAATCCTTTATTTACAACAGCAGCATTTCAACAAAAGGAGAAAACTGCTCTCTGCTCTCTCAGCTACCCAAGTTACAGGCGTATTAATAATGAGAATCTTTTCCCCTTTGAAAAATAATGTCTATAACTAAAAGGGGGGTAGGGCACTTTATCACTTCTATAAGAAGTTCTAGCTTCCAGACTAGGCTTTATGCTGTTATTGAAAACATTATCTAGAACATTCACAAGTATCTTTGCTCTGATTTTTTTTTTCTAGGTAGGAGAAGAAAAAGGTTACACCCTTCTATGTACCTCTCACTCGAGAGTATTCCTCACCAAGTTCGCTCTGCTGTGTCTCTAATATAGTTTTAGTCATCCCCATCAATGATACTAGGCACCTCTCCTTCAAAAACATTTGAGAGGATGTATCACTTTCTTATTGCCATTTTAACAAATTAGCACAAGCTTAGTGGCCTTAAACACCACAAACGTATTCTCTTGTAATTCTGGAGGTCAGAAGTCCAACATGGGTCTTACTAAGCTAAAGTAACAGTGTCAGTAAGACTTCATTCCTTCTGGAAGCTCTAGGGGAGAATCCATTTCTCTGCCTTTTCTAGCTTCTAGGAGTCACTTGCACTCCTTGGCCAGTATACCCCCTTTCTCCATCTTCAAGGCCAGCTGTGTTGTATCTTCAAATTTCTCAGACTGCAACCTGCTTCTCTAAGCACATCACTTTCTCTGAGTATAAGCCACTTACATCCCTCTTATACAGACCTTTGTGATTATATACGGCCCCCAGGTAACCCACAATAATCGCCTATCTCAAGATGCTTAATTTAATCACATCTTCAAAGCCCCTTTTGCTGTATAAGGTCACATATTCACAGGTTCTAAGGATGAGGATGTGAAACTTTGGTGGGAGAAGAGTATT